AACCAACAATAACAAGAAGAAAGGCCCCAAGCACAATAACTACTCATAAGCCCAAACTAAAATTAATCAGATAAGGACTTAGGGCACAAGAAAAATAAGAGCCAAGCCCTCACATTGTCATACACCTGCTTAGGTTTAAATAGCTTTATCCCCATAACAACCATCAATGAAAAAGAGTTTTTTTGCCCCCAAAAGGTGATAAATGTGGATCCACAAGGGTCATACACAAGAAATCCTATGGCTTTTGGCTATTACATCAATATCCATCAAAATACAATAATCTAAACATATGAAGGAGACATTTAGATATGCAAATACAAAAGGTGGGCCCTAGAAGGAAAAATACTTAGCCATCACAAGCCCAAATCATAAGAGAGTTACTAGACTATGCATGCCTAAGTCTTTGGCTACTTCCCTTCACGACGGATTAAATCAAAAGGCTTTTCTTAAAACAACAAGATTAATAGGGTAAGACATAAAATCCCAGTAACCAAAGATCACTTTACAGCATATAGAAATAAGATAGTAAGTAGGTGAAGTAATGCTATAATATTATTTTAATTTATAATCATACAACCCCATATGTAACAATCAACACAATAGTATATGCCCTCGTATCCATTGTACTCCTCCTTATAACCCTTTGACAGGGACTCGGACCTTTTATGTTGGGTAACTTGACCAAAGGTTACTCTACTTACTTCAAGTCAACAGCTCCTTCCTATACCTATACTGTCCAAAGATAGACTATAATGCAAGGGGTGTCTAACCAAGGGTCCTATCTCAATTTTGGGCCAAGGAAAAGAAAGAACTAGAGGAGCCTAACAAGAGGCCAAATAGATGATCATAGTGTTGGCATATTGCATGGGCTTCAAGAACCGTTATCCTTTACATACAATCCTAATCTCTACATATAAACCTCATGCATAGATATAATAGACTTAAGAATACAACCGACAATGTGACATAGGGCACAATGCAGAACATTCATCGCAGACAATCACCTAAAGAAACTTCTATGGCAATACCACTCATACAATAATATCAAAATACTTCTCACCTCACTAAGAGTTGATATATAAGCAAAACACATACTTTTCCTTTATGAACACATTATTTGTAATTCAACAGAGTTTGAAAAGATTTAGAAAGCCTTACGATCAACAGTAAGCATATAAAGTAAAGTAATCCTAGTTATCTCAACTCCAAGCTTAGCATTTGGCTTGAACACAAGACACTGATCCATAAGTCAGGATACACACTAATCTACATCACCATGTAAATTATAGTCAAACACAAGAAACAATTAAATATAAAAATAAAAAACCTTTAGTCTCACATCTCACAACAACAATCAAGCTTTCAAACCTATAACCAAAATTCTCTGTCCAAAGTTGTAGTCATTAATTTCTTTGCCCAACTAAGTCATTAGACTCCTTAATCAACCTTAACAACAATCATTTAATCAATCCTCAAGTCACACACTTAGAATTTTCAACCTCCAATATATCCAATATTGAAAACCAATCAAGATCAACAGTCTATAACATATGGCACAATTCAGAACATTCACCACAGATAATTACACCAAGAAACTTCTATGATAGTACACCCCATACAATAATAAATAAAATCTAAATAATAAAACATCATTTCAATTGCCGCATTACTAAATCTCAACAAATCTCACTTCCAATAACAAATCCCAATCTCCAAATCCTATATAAATCAAAATCTAACAAAACTAAATTGATTAAATCTCTTATCTAATTCATATAACTCTAAGAAACCCAAAAGATTCGGTCAAACACTCAGAAAATTCGAAAATCCTCAAGAACCCTAAAAATCCTAACTTTCAAATATGAGAAATCTAAGAGAAAAAGGTGGGAAACAAGTTAGAATCACTTACATGGGGTTTGGAAGCTGAAAAACACTCTTCAAGAACTGAAAATGCAAACCCTAATAGAGTTCTCACATTTTCTCCTCTTTTTCCTTTTGTTTTTCGAGTTATTAATGTTGGTATTTATCAATGCTTTTGCATGTTCGCTGCAATAAACTACATAAAGGCGCCAAAATTTTGAAAATGGGGCATATTTACCATGACGAACTACACAGAAACGATCAAGTTTCCTCAATGATGTTCGACTGTCTGCTATGTATGTCGCGATGACGAACACAAAGAGCATCCTCCTCTCTTCTGTGTCATTCACTGCGGTGAACCATTCCTCTTGCTGCAGTGAAATACATAGAGAACCACAAACTGCCTCAAAACAACCTTTACCTTACCCCTTTTCACCTTACCAACCGTAAACAACTTTTAATATACCTCAAGATCAGATTACAATCAAGGTTAGTTTATCCCTAAATTCTTGATTAAAAACTGGGATGTTATAGTTAGCATTTGAAAAAAAAAAATGCTTCATCAACATTTAAGATTTTAATATCATCATTCTTTGTTAACGGATTTTGGATTAAAGGATTAAAAATACATTTTTTAGAGTTAAGGGATCAAATTGAGTTGTATGTGAAAAGAATTTTGTTTTGACTTGTATGAAAGTATTTTTTAAAAGTGCTTATTGAGTTAACTAAACACCCCTTAACATGCACTTACCTTTTGTCACTTATAAAAATTATTCCTCGGTTTAGGAGGAGCAAGGAAGGGAGCTAATTAGAAGTTAACAAATATATCATTATTTCTTTATGTAAACTTCTTTATTATTTTATTACAATATTTATATCATAATTATTATTTTCTAATTTGTGAATATAGAAAAACCAAATACCTTGAGACATAATAAATAGATTATAAATAATTATATATCAAAATAAATGTCAATAAAAAAATATGTTATAATCTTTAGCATATTATATAAATTATAAATAAATTTATGCTACAAATTTTAAACTATTTCATCCTTAATTATATAACGTGTGCAACCTCACATGCTTAATTACATAATACACAGAGTTTTGTGTAAAAAATGAAATTGAATTAAAATAGATATATATATAGACACATGTATCAACGAATTTGGTGATTGATAATATCATTTTAATAGATCTTAACGACTTCAACTCATATAAACCAATAAAAAATAGTTTTATACAGAATAAATAAATAAAAAATATTGATAATAATGATAAGATGAATGAGGTGGGGGATTAGGCAAGAGGAAAAGATGGGGAAGATTAATGGCAAAGAGCGTAAGAAATGATGAACTCAAAGAAAGAAAATATGCCCAAAAAAAAGAATCTCTGAGGAGTAAAAAAAAATCCATAGAAGAATAATAGGGCTGAAAAAAATAAAAAAAAGGCAAATTTGGAGGGGAGCAGAAGGAGGGGAGGGGAGCACTAAAAGGCAAATTTTTTTTCCTCCCCTCTCCTCTATTTTTTTGAACCAAACACAATTTCTTCTCCCCTCCCCCCCAAAACCTTCTAACTAAGGGTGGAAACAGGTCAGGTCAGGCTAGGCCAGGCCATGCTCTTAATAGGCCAGGCCTGTTTTGGAGCCTATTGGCCTGAGCCTGGCCAGTGACCTGTTACAGGCTTATTTTTCAGCCTGAGCCTAGCTTGTGTAAAGGCCTGACCTGGCCTGAAGCCTGTTAAAAGGCTTGTATTTTTAAAAAATTCAAATTATAATTATTATTTTTAAAAAAAAGCTAAGATTAAAAAAAAACGTATAATAATTAAATTTTTAGTCTTGTCTTTTATTTAAATTTTAGTATCATAAGTACTATTTTAAATCTTAATTATAATTTATAAGAATGTTATTGAAAATTAATTGTAATTATATGTTAAAATTTAGAATAAGACTACGTTTAAGTACACACAAAAAATTAAAATTAAGACAAATAAATAAAGAGGAAAAAAAACTAATTTTATAATGAATAAAGAGGATATCATACTTAAATTAACATAATATGTAAGTTAGTTAATTTATCATTCTTGGAACAAAATTTTTCTTTCCTATTTTTTTTTATATTTTTAAGATTTAAAAATCACATTATTTATTAATATTATTATTTTAAATTATATTTTTATCTTCACTTGTCATCTAAACTTCAAAATCTAAGAAAAGATTAAGCTATTAACTATATATTAAAATTAAAAAATAAATTAAAAGAGCACATTAACAATAATAACATTAATTAATTTTTTATATATTATAATTATAAATTCTTAACAGGCCCAGGCCGGCCTAACAGGCTTTTTAAAAAGTCTAAGCCTGGCCTGTTTAATTAAACAGGCCTTCAAACAAGTCTGAACCTGTCTTTTTTGGGAAACATGCCAGACCAGGCCAGGCCAAATGCAGGCCACGCCATAGGCCCTTGACAAGCCGCCTGGCCTGTTTCCACCCCTACTTCTAACCAAACAATACGTAAGTTTCAAACAAGATTTATTAATTTCTCAATTATTCGAATTTGAATGGAGGAAAAATCCTAAAATTGTGTAATTACCCTAAAAGTAAATGTAATAATATATTAATAATATAAAAGTGAAATTTAATTATAAATAAATAAATAAACAGACAAATAAGAATATCAATTCTACTTTTATTTCAATTATAAAATAGATAATTTTAAAGATAAATCAAATTTTTTTGGGCCAACAAAGATGCATCAAATACAAAATGCACCTTATTTTTTGTTTGCTTGAACTTTTCTTTTGATATACTTTTTGTCAGCACTTTCCTTACTTCAACTTATTCCATATTTGAGGGGGAAAAAAATTATTCTCATAGCCATAAATCAAATTGGGAAAGTTATAAAAAAGCTTTAAAAATTAAAAAATTATATAGAGACACTTGTTTATAAAAATTGTTATTATTTATTTTTTAATTGTTGTCAAAATCAATATTAATATTCTGGTGGGTACTTGTTTGCAATTTTTTTACTTCTCATATTTTTTTTTTGTTGCGATTTTCCCAATCAAATTTCCCATTTTTGTGTTTAAAGGAGGGTGGCGGGGAAATTTCTGAAAAACTCAGCTCCTTCTGACGATGAATTCTTCCTCCGCTGGGGTTCAATTTCGTTCCTCTTCGTCTCTGTCACGGGCGATTGCACGAGTGGATTTCCAGAGGACTGATGCTTGAACTCTGATTTGCATTGTCAAACGCATCTTCGTCTTTCTCTGTTCAAGGCGCCGTGGTGGGTTGAGTTTTGTGCAGAGCTTCATTTTCCTCCTTTTATCTACTGGTGGTTTGGTTTTAGTCGGTGTTCTTGTAGGGCAGGTTTGGGACTCTTGCTCTAAGGCACTTCCATGGTTTTTTTTCTGGTAGCATTTTTATTATAGTGACGTTACTGCTTTTGTTTCTTTTTCCTTCCTTCATGCCGTCGTTACACCATGAGACATTGGGGATTTTAGTTTTATTGGTGAAAGTTTGATAACTGGAAAGCCTTGTAAAGTCTGATTGATGTTTGAATGCTGTTTGGGTAAAGGATCATATGCTATGGAGCACATAATATGGGTACCTTTAATGGATGCATCTCAACTGTTTGCAAAAATGTTTTCAAGACAAAGAGAGCTATAATTAAAATTGAGCTAAAATAATAAAACATGAGTTAGTTGTGTATCATCCCTAAACCTTTAGAAGCTTAAGTTTTAAAGACCTAATGTTGATATTTGACCATAAAAAATTGTTGGGGTGTAAAACATGTTAGAATTTTTGTATTTTTCTTTATCATATGCCCTGTCATCTAAAAAGAATATGATGTTAGGAGAGGTGAAGGAAGAAGAGAAGAGAGAGAGGAGCATATTAGGGGGGAGAGGGAGAAGAGGGAAATAAGAAATTTGAATAGTGCTATGGATAGGTTCATAATCAACAATAATAACATAGGTTTAGTCCCTCTTCCTTATTTATATACAATTATAAACTCCCATTTCTTAATTTTTGTTACCTAACCCCCTATACTAGATTAACTTTCTAACTCTTATTCCTTTTATTATTTACATAGCAATTCTCCCCTCCCCAAAGGCCTGGCTAGGAGATGAGGAAAGCTAGGTTCTACCCTCTTTTTTTTTTTTTTGGTGCTGTTGTCGGTATTGTAGTATTTAGCTTTTCATTGGGGAAAAAAAGGTTTGAAACTTTAAAACAGGAAATTGCTGCTAAAACTGATATAAAGGAACCCAAGTATCTTCTTCATCTTGTAACCCTCTCCACTAGAGCAAGACTTCTATTATAATACTTCCTCCAAGACATTTGACTTTCCTATTTAAAATGGTTTCAAGTTTGAATGTGTAGGAGGAGTAGACCATTCAATAGGAGGATGCCTTTGTTTGATTGCAGGATTTGGACGAAGTTTGAGCGATTATACATGGTGAACATGATGTATTCTAGACTCCTGAGGAAGCCCAAGCTTGTAGGCTAGTGGCCCATTCTTTTCTGTCACTCTATAAGATCCAAAATGCCTAAGCTTTTGTGAGCTCATAATAACCATAGAATTTTGTCTATAGGATAGAACTACTGGTTGGCTCATTGGGCCTTTATGACCAACTATTTGTTGTACTTAGGTTTGACCTAGTATAACTTAGAATGACCTAATATCTCTCTGCCATCAAATCCCAAATGTTGTGGAATTAGAATAAATTAGTCTAGTGCTTTGTTTTATCCTGATGTTTTGCTTACACTATTCTATATATCTTGTGTAAACATTGATTTGACAATAGTAAGAATTCTTCTTCTGAGTGTGAACGTGGTATTGGACCAACATCATGACTTAGAGCAAAGTTTAGTTTGGTTTGTGTGGTGCTTTCCTTAGCAAAGGTAGCAACAACAGCCTTAGCTCTGACTTGCATGAGGTAGGTAGATCTGTTCAACTAAGTTGAGGCAAAGCAACATCGAAGTCCCAACCCCGCGTTCAATCATGGGGTGCAAATTGAATGAGGACAACTATTTATTAGAGGTAAAGGAAATGAAAAGTACATCATTGGAGGTGCAACTCAACTAACTCCAAGTTTGAAACTTGAGCTGCTGAAAATTCCATGGTTATGTCATGGCTCATAAACTCCATGACCTACACATCAATGTGGAGCATTTGTTGGCAATCACAGCAAAGAAGATTAGGGATTTAGCCAAGGAGGCTTACTTAGGTATGATTAAAGACTTAGCGGATTGATCAACACGCGATTTACAATGCAAAAGATTTGGTAGCAAATAGACTTATATGACACTTGGGGAATTCCTTATCTACCACGCTTATGGCCCAAACTGCAAATTTTGGAGTTTATAGCAAGAAACAAGAAAAAGGCATATGGAACATTTGACTTGTAGAAAAATCAACATTGTAGTCTCAAGATTGTTTCTTTGCTAACAAATAGGAGATTACATTTCACATCAAGGGCATACAACACATTCTTAAGAATCAAATTCCTAAATAGACATGCTTCACCAATTCCATGTGCCTTAATAAACTTTCTATGAACAACCTTGATAAACATAAGAAAGTTGCAAGGAGTGATATTTTGAATAAGATTTTGTTATAAATTTGTGTTGCTGACATAGGGGTAGATAAGATTCTTTAATCGTTAATTAGTTAGAATTTATAGCATGCATTTAACCACTAGCCATTAGGAACACCTTTACCCTTACTTATAAATAACCCCTATGCTTAATTAGAATTCTTGTAGGTAAAACTTGAATAAAGGGGACCCAACTAAGTGATAGATTTGTGGGCTTGATTGAATTGATCCACTGCAGCAACGAACTTGGGCCTTTTTCTTGAAAGATAAGGCCTGTATAACCATTAATCAAACTTAGTGGATCTTCACAATACTTTTGCCACTTACAGAAGAGGGGAGACAACTGGGCATTTGACTTTTCAAAATGAGCTTTTGCTTGCCACTTACAATCCATAACCTGTTCAATTTGTCTTGAAAGTCGCACATGGTCTTCACTTCTCCAAGTCATTCGATTATGCATCAAGTTTAAAGACATAGACAATCCCGAACACATTTTTGTAAAACTCGACCTTAATGGCTGGCATCCACCACACGCAAATGTGATTTCTTTGTTGCTCCACCTGTGCGTTGCGTGCGAAAGGTCTTGTGATCCTTTAACAAAGTCAACACTTAGAGACCCGTTAACAACATAAGTGATTTTCACGCTACCCCACATTTTTGGTTTGGGAAGAGCATTAACAACTCCATGCATGGCAACCATAACTCCATTCGTCATCGTCTTCGGGCTTACCTTCGCATCTTTGGTCTTCTGTGTTACATGTGAACACGTCTGTGCTCGCTCCATGAAGTCTACTAGCATGGTTTTGGCTGCACCATTGCTCTCGGTTTCTTGTTGAGGAACAGGAGGTTCAAGCATTCTTTCTTTCGTTGACATCTTTATGGGTTTCTTGCACTTGTCTTCACAAACATCTTGAGGACTCTTCTGTGGTTGCCCACTGACGCCGAACGATTCTTGCATTCCAACGAATACCTCTTGGGCCTCGTTCTTCTTGCCCTTCCATTGCAAAGTGAGCTGCATTTTTGTGAGGCTTTTGGCTTCGTGCATCGTTTGAGGCCTAAACAGATGGACTAGTTCAACATAGTCTTCTTGTAGCGCCAAGATGTAAGTGTCGACTAACCATTCTTCAAGCAATGAGAGTTTGGAGGAAATTGCGTCAAATTCAGAATTAAATTCTGCCAAGGATCCTCGATGTTGAAGATGAAGCAAGTCTTTTTGTCATATGAGTTCTTGCAGCTGCGTGGACAAGCCAAGAAGGGCCTCTTTTAATTTATTGACAGAGCCTTGTATTCCATCAACTGAATTCAATTTTGTTTGATGTTCAGGAGACGTTGTTCCATGGAACTTGAAACTGATTGGGAATGAGGGAGAAAGAACCAAGTAGTGGGTAGGGCTGAGGAAAGACTGGCTCTGGATACCACTGTTGTGTTATTGGAAGAGAGAGAGAGAGAGAGAGAGAGAAGGGAAAGCGAAGAGAAACAGAGAATAGGGGAAATTAGAGAGAAGGGGGAGAGATTAGAAGGCAATAAACAGAAGAGAAAGAGAATTCCATTAGGTTGATCACAATACAACACACTTACAAATGAGAGATAAGCTTGTTTATATAGGCAAATTCCAACTGCTAATAACTAACTATTATTCTAACTAACTCACATAATTTTGTTATTTATTTATTATAATATCATCATAAGAGTAGAGGTTTTCCTAATGGCTAATAGGTAAATGTGTCTTATGAATCCTAACTAACAGTTAATGAATCCTACATACCCTTGTGTTAGTATTGCAAATATATAACAAGACCCCCTTTCAAAAAAGTTAAGTAGTGGTGCATTACTACTTTTCATATAGCCATTATAGGCTTATAGCAATTCTGCATGAGTTGTTATATGGACACAAATACAGTTTATTGCCAGAGAATAGATAATGGTTGTCTTAAAAGATCATCTCCATAGCGCAACTAATATAATGGAGTAGAAGGCTGATTCACACATGGTTGATGGAGAATTTTCAATGGGCCAATAGATTTTCCTAAAGTTACAGCATTATAGGTAGATTTCAGTAGCTACAAGGAGATCAGGAAGGTTGGCAAGGTTGCTTATAGGGTCTCCTAGGAGAATCTCGGTTCACTTGCATTCCATGTTTCTATGCTTAAACTATGTCAAGTCCTTTTTGTTGAACAAAGACGCCTATTAATTGATTTTCCAAAACACTCTAATCTCATTGCATCAAAGAATTTAATTAATAAGGGGTTGGTAGAAAACACTAGAGGGTAATTAGAATTCTTGGTGCAATGGAGAGTTATGCTAGATGAAGAAGCCTTATGAATGCCTCTTTTCAGCTATGACAAAAATTTCTCGATTTTGTTATAAATGACCATTGATGTCATGTGTCCTTTTGGAAGGGGGTATTTTTATGTATTTGTAATATTGGCATGGAGTAGGTAGAACTCATTAACCATTAGTTAGTTAGGATTCATAGCATACATTTGACAACTAGTCATTAGGAACATCTCCACCTTGCCTATATAAATAACCCTTATGGTTATTAATCAAATGTATGTTTATGACTTTTATAAATAAACAACAGAAGTATTCAATTGGTCTTGCCTCTTCGTCTCTCTTTCCTTACAATTTCTCTCTTTATCTCATTCTTCTCTCTCTCCTTCCCCTCTTTCCCTCTTTCCTTTCTCTATGTTGTTTTAAATATTATAGAAGGATAACTGGTTCAAATTACCTATCATATGACGAATAGCCCTTAAATCAACTGTCCATACTCTCTCATGATGAACAATAGTTTTAAGAGTAAGGACCACATTGCC